CGCTGGAGCTAAGCTGACTGGAACACATAATAATGCATCCCAGAGGAAGTGATGTCACTTTTGGAATGGGTGACAATTAAGAGCAAAACAGTCAGGTCACTCTGTTAATACACTGCAAAAGAGTAAATCTCAAGCCATTAATGTGTTCTGCTCCCTTATAGTTCACAATGTATCAGTTAATGCCGCTAGACTTGTCAATTACTCTTCTTGAGAACAGAAATATCCGAAGCATCTGCTTATAACAGTTCATACACTGTACATAATGCGTCATAGTCTTATTGGACATATCTGTAGGGGGTAAAAACAAAGAAATTTGAAGCAGATAAAGACAATATGTATTCGTGTGTGTGTGTGATATTTACAATTGAGATGTAATAAAATACACACATACAAGCATTTACTTGCATGTACAATTTGTTTATGTTTATTAAGCCCTTCATAAAAACATTCATCTCCTGTTACTTTATTGTTTTATTTTATTAAAGATACTGTGGGCTCCCACCTTTGGAGAATAAATGAGACTTCGCAGACAAAATAAGAGGATGTTTGTAGGTGTTTTGTGGGGGCATCTTTTTCAAGGGGAAATGGGATGGGGGCACAGTGCCGCTCCCTTTAATGTCCTGGATGGATGGTGAGAGTGCTGCTTGCATTGTTTTTAACATTAGAACAATAGTTCAGAACTTCCCGGATTTCTTCTTCTTCTCTTCCTGTCGAGCCTTTCTTTTCAGGGGCTGGGAAAGAAGGAAACAGAACAAAGCTGTTTAGCACAAATACAGCAGCAACAGAAACAAGCTTATTTTGAATCCTTTAAACAGAAACAAAGATACACTTAGAGATTAGATTATAACATTATAATAGATATTAATAGGTTAACAATTTTTTTGTCTTGTTTCCTACTACAAATATCTAGATTTATCTATAGATATTTTTAATTAAAGGAACACTCTACATTTTGCAATAGGCTCATTTTGATAGTCTCCTAGAATTAAACACTTGTATTTTACATTTTTGAATCCATTTAGCCAATCACCGGGAGCAGTTTTAGCTTAGCTTAGCATTGTTCATTGTATCAGATTAGACCATTAGCAGCTCACTTCAAAATGACCAAAGAATTTCAATAATTTTTCTATTTAAAGCTTGTAAAAAATAATGTCTGCAAAACTGTTTTAAACAATTTAGTTGTGTTGAATTTAAACAAACAAATTAAATTTGACTTAATTTGTTCAATTAAAATTCAGCCCAAATAAATTGTTTACAACTACTTAACATAATGACATTTAGTAAATCCCAAAAATCATCTTTGAATATTTTTTTCAGTGTACTAAGAAAATAAAAAGTTGCTATTTTTTTTAGGCTGACGTGGCTTGAAACTATATTCTCATTCCAGCGTAATAATCAAGGATCTTTGCTGCCATACCATTGCTGCAGCAGGCACCATTATATTAAGAAGACACAAGCTTTTGCATAGGAAAATGATCAAAATGATTTAGTGCTATATAGGCTAAAAGTTCTTCTGCCAGACACAGAGATCAGCTGATTGGGTTCAAAGATGGTAAAACTCAACTATTTAACAAAAGCAAAGTTGTAAAATCAGCCTGTTTTCAAAATAAGTCAAATTGTTTGTTTTTTTAACTGGAGTGTTCCTTTAAGAAACAAAAAGTATCCAAAAGTGGTCTACATCTGTGCTTAAAGACATGATTAACTGTATTTTAGAATAGTAGGGAAAAAGTAATCTTTCTTTTTTAAATAATGGCTATTTTTACACAATAGTGACGTTCAGAAAATTCAAATTCTGATTTTATCTCCCAAATGTAAGGATTTGTTCTCTCAATTTAGTACATCATAGCCATGATTTAGTAATTGTTTATTAATTTCACTTTAGTCATGGCCACAAAAAAACTGAATCTGTTATCTGTCCTAAGAAAAAGGAATGAATTATTACAATGAAGCTATAATTTGGTAAAATGTGAGAACAAATTTAAATGTATTTATATATTATATTTATAAATCTGTGATCATAAGTTGTTTTTGGTTGTTGTTTTTTAAACAACACATAAATTATAATACTATAAGTTAATTATATATTGTGGTTAAATAATTGAGATATTTTTTGTGAAAACAAGACAAAAATTTAAATAAACATTTTTTAGAGTGTATTGCTGAGTTTGATTAATTATTGATTCTGATTCACACTTTTTAAAATTGTTTTAAGTTCAGTTATTTTGGCTCTATGCTTTTTTTAAAAACCTGTTAGTACTACAAATTAAACAGCATGAACAGCACTGGATTGCCACTCCACCTTTACTGTTGATTCTTCAGCTTAACAATCTTATGCAACACAATCTCACGGCAATTTGTAACTTTTTGATTTAGTGGCTAATTCGTATGAATCGTATAATTTAGTACGATTTGCATCACATTATGGCATCCTGAATGGCATTCTAATATTTGATGCGGTTCAGTGGAGTTTTTCCTCTGATATTTAACATTTTAATTAAAAAATAATTAGAGCAGCAACTCAGTTTTGTCAGGCTAAGATAAATTTAAAAAAATTTTAAGCAACTGGGTTACAGTGGGCCGTTCAGTCTGCTGTGGCGACCCCAGATTAATAAAGAGACAAAGTTGAATAGAAAATGAATGAATGAACGAATGAATGAATGAATGAATGAATGGGTTACAGTGATTAATGTGGATTATCTATGAAACAGAAACACAGTTACAGAGATCAAGATGCTGTCTTGTTTTTGAGGCTTTCGTTTCTTTGCAGGCCTACAAACATAGAAACCGCTTACTATTAGCATGCAAAATTTCACTGCCAAAGAAGACACAATGTTATCAATACATTATATTATAAACAGTTGACATTTCTTTCACAAAAAAACAGTGAGACATTTTCTTTGAAATATTGAAAATCTGAAGAAAGAAATGTTTTTTTAAATTGTCATTATTATTAATGAGGGTGGTAAACATTAGCTTTATGATGTTTATGAATTTATAATTGTGAAATGAACACTGATTTTTTTATTTAAAACTGAAATGATTTAGTTTTCTTTTTAAATAATAATAAAAGTCTTACAATATTTCGGCTTAAGGCTGATTTATACTTCTGCGACAAACGGCGGCGTATGCTACGGCATTGACGCATAGCCCTTCGCCGTGGAATGTCAGCGTCTGCATCAGTTTGACGCAGAAGTATAAACCAGGCTTTACTACTAGGCTACTAGAAACAAATTACAGGGCTAAAATTTGGCCCAATCCCAATTCTACCCCTTAAGGCTGATTTATACTTCTGCGTCAAACTGATGCAGACGTTGACATGTGCCTCTCAAAAAATGTAACTACACATCGCAACGACGCGTAGCGCAAGCTCTGTGATTGGTCGGCATGGTAGCGATGACGAATCTGGGCGGGACCGGGAGCCGCGTGAATGGTGCAAGCCTGATGGAGCGATTGTTTACAAGTGTGGAGGCTTTAGGCCTGGTTTATACTTCTGCGTCAAGTGACCGGCGTAACCATCGGTGCATGCAACGCCCATAGCAGTGCATTTACACTTCTGCGCGCTGTCTTTGTTGGTCTGCATTACACTTCCGGAACACTGCATTACACTTCCCAGTGAGGTGTAAATGTTCCTCTGTGTCGAGTTTCTTCGCTGCTGTTTTGCTTTTCCTGAACACTTCCTGGATGTACAAGTGGCTCTAACTCGCTCATTTTGAGGCTGGAACCGGCGGACGAGCAACAACTTTAACTATGAGGTAAACACAAAACAAAACTTTCCATCCGGAGCTCCTTCACAGGACTCCACACTTGTAAACAATCGCTCCATTGGGCTCGCATCCAGCTCGCGCCATTCGCGTGGCTCTCGGTCCCGCCCAGAGTAGTCAGCGCTACCAAGCCGACCAATCACAGAGCTTGCGCTACGCGTCGTTGCGATGTGTAGTTACATTTTTTGAGAGGTGCACGTCAGTGACGCCGACGGCCACGGCGAAGGGCTATGCGTCTGCGCTGTAGCGTTTGACGCAGAAGTATAAATCAGCCTTTAGCCCTTACCCCTACCCCTCGTTTTGCGCATGCCCGTGAAGGGGTAGTGATGTCCCAATTCTCTTTAGCTTGGAGGCGTAGGGCTAAGGGCAAGGAGTATACACCACTTCAAACGAAGACTTTACAGGACCACACTTGAAACCAAGGGGTAAGAAAAAATTCCCAGAATTTTGCAGAAACAGCTGCACCCGGAAGTAAGGAGATCCACAAATTAGTATTTTTTGTCATTATTACAAATTTTTACAACAAACAAACACGTTTTAATATATTCTTCAAAACGCTAAAATAAAGACCTCTAAATTTCGTGATCTATTCGCGATGTATAATCCCTAATCATAACTTGTGTAACGTTACAGCTGTTCCACAACTTTCTAACACTCGATGACACTGGAATACCCTGTCAGAAAAGTCTAGTGGCTGTAAATGAGCTTTTTACAGTGTCAGCTATAATGTTAATGCTGATTTTGTGTGTTTACATTGATGAGTATGGCCACTGTGTAAATGCACAGTACAGTTACGATCTTATTGCCAAATTATATGGTTATGATAACATAACCTTCAGTGATCTCCTGAAGATAAATACCAAAAAATAACACGACTGAAATCACTCCAGCAGTCCCGATCGTCTGATCTCATATGAAGCGAGGACATATGATGATGTGTACAGGTGCTGGAGTGCTGTCCAAATTCTTAGGGGTACATTTTGAAGCCCATCCCCTTAACCCTCGGTTGTAAGAGCCAAGGGAAAGGGGTAGTGGTACAAAAATAGAATTAGGCCCCTGGCATCTGTTTATACTTTGGATAACTGAAATAATTTATTTCATTTTATTCATTTTTATTATGTTCATAACTGTTGTGAGATGTATTCTCTTGTACTATGTTTGTAAATACTCCAATTTAAAAAAAAAAATAGAATTGGGATTGTTGGACCTTTGTGTATCAATCATCAGAAAATATATTTAAGATGAACACACTTTTCTTTATCCACCTGAAGTGCTTTGTTTTTACTATCTGTCAAAAGTTTTCTATTTTTTTATACAAGCACAAGATGTATAATAATTAGTACTACTAGGCTACTGTAGTTATTAGTACAATATACTTCATTGCAGTACTAATGAATGGAAAACAAAGCGATAGTGGTGATACGTTCTTCTGTTTACAAAAAATCAGAACAAGTTTGTTTCTATAGTGCTTTTCACAATAATTATTGTTTCAAAGCAGCTTTACAAATGGTGCACATTATTGCATTACAATCAAAATAAGAAAAGTTAAAGTGTTCCTTATAGGGCGGACATTATAATATATATATATATATATATATATATATATATATATATATATATAGACATAGACAAAAATGCCTGGCGCAAAAGAAGAATGTATTCCATAGGTCAGTGGTTCTCAAACTGTGGTACGTGTACCACTAGTGGCATGCAGGCTTCCTTCTAGTGCTAGGCGAAATAATGGCTGAATAATTCAAATAAAAAAAATGAACACACTTTTACCCTTCGATGCGTACAATAACACCAATGTGATCAGGAAATTGATTTCAATAGGTTAAACTTTTTTTTTATAATGTTTGTTATGTATTCTATCATTTGAAGCTAATTTCCTCCCCACATTTGTAACGGTTGTTGGGAGCGTATCCCGTATTTTTATATCCCAATGTTGACAGGTATAGTTTAATCACTTGCTTTTCTGACACAAATAGACTACTCTAACGTGCAGAAAGCAGATCTAATTTGTAATTTAAATATATAGATCCAATTCATATATCTAAAACACAAGTTAATGTTTAGATTTCAAAGATCAAAATTTATCAAAAAGAGTTTATATATGAATATGATTACATTTTATCTTATATTTATGAGGTCCAAGGAACATTTCCAGGTTTTAATGAATAGGCTGATAATACTTTACATTTAAGTACAGTAGTTTTCGTTTTACTTTTTAAGAACAGCCGTCATTTTCAATAAACTTTTAAAAGCACACTATAATTTAAACATTGACGTTTTATTTATTTTTAACTGTAAGCAAAGTACAGTGTTAATGTTCAAACTATTTATAATGTTTAAAGTGGCTGACAATAATAAATATTCATTATAATAAGAATTAATCTGCCTAGTTTTTAAACTACGGTGTGCTGTAGCTTCTTAATTAGGCCTACACTACTGTATTTTAATACTGGTCATTATGGTGGTATCTGGAAAGACAATTTTTATTTTTATTTATTTTTTTGATGTGGTACTTATGGAGCTAGATTTGTTTCTTTATTATACAATCAAAAAGTTTGAGAACCACTGCTATAGGTGGTTTGTCAAGCCCATCCTACAGTTATAAAAGGATTGTAAAATTAAAAGCAGCAGAACTTTATGATTTGCCCAAAGCAGACTTGGCTTGGCCTATTGACTTCCATAGTTAAATACAGTATATAATTAAAGTCAGTGGCTACAAGATTCCAAATTTATATAATATATATATATGTGTGTGTGTGTGTGTGTGTGTGTGTGTGTGTGTGTGTGTGTGTGTGTGTGTGTGTGTGTGTGTGTGTGTGTGTGTGTGTGTATATATATATATATATATATATATATATATATATATATATATATATATATATATACATATATATAAATTTTGAAATCTTGTAGCCACTGTGTGTGTGTGTGTGTGTTTGACAAACAACTAAAGGGAATGAAAATGATGTCATAATCTTCATTGTAAGGTAAACTATGCCTTTAGGACCCCATTGTGAAAAGAACAAATTTTACTTTCATTAAATGGAGAGAGAAAATTTTTCCCCAAAATTGTAGCCACAGACTTCAGAACATTTTATTGGTTTGAAATAGGGGGTGAATATAATTACCCAACTGTCAGTATATATAGATTTTGAACTGTAAGAAAAGTAAGTGTTGTTTAGTAGTTGTACTCACGAGTACTGGCCCATTCTTCTGACAACCAGGATGATTATAGCGATGACAACAATTACTCCAATCAATGCGCCGATTACAATCCCCACCACCTGTCCAGTGCCCATTCCTGAAATGAGGAAAATCACCACATTTCATGTCAAAATCTTATACATTACTCCATCCTCAAAATGTCATACTCCATCTCTCTCCAGCTGACCTTCTTCGTCCACTATATTTACTGGTGACGGTGATTCCTTGCCATCTTCATCTGTCGTCCCTACAACATGATCAGTTGCGGCTCCAATTGTGGCTTCAGTGTCGTTTTTTACTTCAGTTCCAGCTTTTGTTGATTCTGCTGCTGCTGCTGTTGAGGCTGCAGGTTCTGTTTGTGTCACTTGTGGAGCTGTGGAAGCTGCTGGTACTCCTGCAGTCATGACAGGCATTTTTTCTGTAGTTTCAGAAACTGGTGTTTGTGTTGATGCTACTGGAGGAGATGTTTCTGAAGGTTTTGGTTCTGAAGTCGTTTCCAAACTTGTTGGTGGCGTCGTCGGACCTAGTATAAGAACAATAAAAAGCCTCTTACAAATCTTGAAATCCAGATTTTATTGACATTCGTTTTTGAAACTGACATAAGCTCTAGAAATATTCTATACACACAGAAGGTTACCATGAACCCTTAATGTCAAACTTGTATTTTTTTGGGGTGATTGGAAACCTGCAACTTTAGTGCTCAATATTGGAATAAAATCTCCATTAAACTAAGAATATTTAAAAAATCTAAAGGACATTTAAAGAATGCTTACTATAAAGATTATTTTGTGGAATAGAAGATTCTTTGAATGTTCTTTAAGCAGCCATGTATAACCATTATTGAAAGTGATTGAAGTCAGAGGCAGAATTTTATAATGATAAATAATATTATGACCTGTAAAATACTGTGCACTATTCTGTTGAGTTCATGTTTTCAGATGTTTGATGTAAGATGTTTGAAATCATATCATAGGCTAAATTGTGTGTAAATGTGTGTGGATGTTTCCCAGAGAGGGGTTGCAGCTGGAAGGGCATCTGCTGCGTAAAAACTTACTGGATAAGTTGGTGGTTCATTCCACTGTGGCGACCCCGGATTAATAAAGAGACTAAGCCGACAAGAAAATGAATGAATGAATGAATATATCGCTATGCGATCATTCGCAGTAGTCATATAGCAGAATTTGCAATGTTGAGTCTGGATTACATTTGCATGTGTTTTTGAGGCCCATGACTCGCTGTATAAGGATTTTAAAAGCATTCAGGCATAAGAAATTGTACTGTTAGTAACTTTATTAATGATTATTTTTATTTTTACTATTCAATTACTGTACCTTAATACTGTTAGACAAAGAAAACGATAAAACACTTTTGTTTTGTTTTTGGTAACTTTTCTTTATTTTATTTATCTTTGATTTTATTTCATTTGTAAGATTTTATGCAGATTCCCTCCCCTACAGAACCCCCCTAAACAATCAAAAATGATAAATTCTTTCTAAATAGAGATATTCGAGACATCTGGTAAAATTGTTTTCATGTCACTAATATATACCACAGACTAACAAAATATTGCAATGTTTGATTTTTTTAATATTGTGTGTTATTCAGATTTTTCTAAATGTTGTATAACAAATAGTATAGCATGGCACTATTTTTAAAAAAAAATAACGTACCTGAAAATAGATATACATTCATCTGCCATTTTATTAGGTACACCTGTCCAACTGCTCGTTTACACAAATTTCTAATCAGCCAATCACATGGCAGCAACAGTGCATTTAGGCATGTAGACATGGTCAAGACGATCTGCTGCAGTTCAAACCGAGCATCAGAATGTGGAAGAAAGGGGATTTAAGTTACTTTGAATGTAGGGTGGTTTTTAGTGTGAGACAGGCTGGTGTATTTCAGAAACTGCTGATCTACTGGGATTTTCACGCTTAACCATTTCTAGGATTTACAGAGAATGGTCCGAAAAAGAGAAAATGTCCAGTGAGCGGAAGTTCTGTGGGCACAAATGCCTTGTTGATGCCAGAGATCAGAAGAAAATGGCCAGACTGGTTCGAGCAAACCATGTAAAGGCAACAGTAACCCAAATACACTCATTACAACCGAGGTACGCAGATGTAGCGTACAGTCCACAGATAAAATTTCTTATTGATTTTATCACGGTCTGGCTTTGGTCGACAGAAGGGTTTTACGACTCCTGGCTCCAAGAAGTCTGGATTTTCGTGACAGCTTAAGTAATCTAGGGAGCCTGGAGAGATAGGTCTGTCACTTCAAAGACATTCCTGCTTAAATACACACACACACACACACACACACACACACACAACCACGAGGCTGTTCCGACAGAAAGAAAATAAACTCATCAAATCCTGAACCAGCACAAAACTAAGGTGTTACAGTATGTTTTGTAAACTTTGTATCTCATTTCTGACTTTTCTTACCTGTGTAACCTCTCTTATAACCTGTATGCATGTTCCCTTTAGGCCTTTGTAAAGCATAAATATTGGAAGGATATGAAAAATTATGTTGATGTACTTTGAAACCCCCCATGTTTGGTACCGATGGGTTTCTGCTAACATTTTACAACACATGATGCATAGAGCAAGACCATAACTCGCATTGCTTTATTCTTTAAAGCCCTGTATTAAATGCCTGTCCGCATGCTTTAGGCGGACACTCAAATTTGCATACGAGCAGCCTCGAGACAAAGGAAGGGTTTCCGCTCGAACTTTGTACTGAAACCATTGATCAGAATGCTGAACGGGTTGTCACGTGCCCCGCAGGTATAACCAGACCTTTTGCCAAACATCTGAGCAGAAAGAAAAAGCGTCCGAACAAAGAACATCAAAGAGGTGGCCTTCGGGCCAGGCGGTTTTCCTACACCGCATGGACTTTCCCACCACGTTTTCTTTATTTTCCGGCAAAAGTAAACTCAGTTTAAAGTTTGCGATCGTGTTCGTCAGAACTGCATTACAAACTCCACGCATCAAGAAGGACATCAAAAGGAGTTTTCATCACGACGGAAGAGAGATGCATAAGAGAGACCTCCAGACATGAACGACCAGGTGATTTTAGTTATGCGATTAAGCTGTGCCCCTTTTATCAAAAGGTGTTTTTCTTTAATCTTGGTGATCCTTAATGGTGCGTGTGGAACTGACAGCTTTGTCACTCAGGTATAGATTTACCTGAAATCTATATTTCCACGCTTTGCTATCTCTCTCTGTTCGTACATGTTTTATAGTCCCGTATAGACCCGATATCTCCACGTGGTTTACCTTTGTTCTGTGTTTAATGTATGTTTGTGCGTTTGTTTGTTCGTTACGTCTGACTAGTCAATAAATTCCATTATAATCAAATGAATTGTATTGTTTGCCTCACGAGAAAATGTCACTGAAATACAGATTCCCCTGCCTAGCTATTATAAGTTGTTTAAAACTTTTTAATGATTAATCTACTTCACAAGAAGTAGCAATTAAATTCCCTTTTTCTAAATGAATAGATTACCGTGTCCGCTCGGAAGAGCGGCGGCTCTGCTTGTGTTTGTTTGGTCAAATTAACAATAAATTGATCCGGAATATTAATGATTAATAATAATTCGTTATTGTTGATAATTAATATTCATAATCTGGGAATCCGCTCGGTCGCGCGAGCATGATCATTTACAATCATATGTTTGTTTGACCAAATTGACTGAAGCTTAAGCCGGAATATTAATAATTAAGAATAAACCGTTACTGTTGATTATTAATATTCATAAAATGAGCTAATTTCATGTTACACAGAAGAGCATCTCTGAATGCACAACACGTCCAACCTTGTGGTAGATGAACTAAAGCAACACAAGACCACACCAGGTGCCGCTCCTGTCAGGAAACTGAGGCTACAGTTTACACAGGCTCACCAAAATTGAACAATAGAAGATCTGGAATAACGTTGCCTGGTCTGATGAGTCTTCTGCTGTGACATTTGGATGGTAGGGTCAGAATTTGGCGTCAACAGCATGAAAGCATGAATCCATCCTGCCTTGTATAAATGGTTCAGGCTAGTGTTGGTGGTGTAATGGTGTGGGGGATTTTTTCTTGGCACACTTTAGGCCCATTAGTACCAATTGAGCATCGTGTCAATGTCACAGACAACTTGAGAATTGTTGCTGAACATGTCCATGGCTACTTCCAGCAGGATAACCCACCATGTCATAAAGCGTGTATCATCTTAGACTGGTTTCTTAAACATGACAATGTGTTCACTGTACTCAAATGGCCTCCACAGTCATCAGACTGTGCAGACCTCAATCAAATAGAGCACCTTTAGAATGTGATGGAACAAGATATTCTCATCTTGGATGTGCAGTTGACAAATCTGCAATAACTGCATAATGCTATCATGTCAATATGGACCACAATCTCTGAGGAATATTTCCAGCACCTTGTTGAATCCATGCCACAAAGGATTAAGGCAGTACAGAAGGCAAAAGGAGGTCCAACCTGGTACTTGTAAGGTGTACCTAATAAAGTGGCCTGTGAGTGTAAGTTTCTTTGGATAAGTGCTTGCCAAATGAAGGAATTTTTAAAGTTATTAACTGAATGAAGCATCAGTTTAATATCTGAGACTGTACCACATTTATTATGGGTTTTGTCATTTGTCATGCCAAGTACAGTTGTGTTTCATAACACACACCCCCAGATGCAGATATGAGCTGTGTGTGACCTGAAAATTTACATCCAGTCTTTTCCCTCCACAGACTTGCTTCTGTCAGTTTTATGATGATGACCAACCGTATTCTGTTGCTCTAAGAATGTGGCCTCAGACGTTATATTTCAACATAAGGGGAAAGCTCAGCATCGGTGAGTTGGATGAAAATGGAGAAATTCCAGAGGCACTGACGATGTTTGCTTCTCTAGTGGTCGTATCAAATGGGTGAGCCAGAATTTTCTCATAGCTTGCCGTTAACAGTGAGAACATTCCAGCTTCTCCATCAGCCCAATCAACACTCACTTACACATTGACTAAGAGTTTGGATAGAACCACAGAAAGTCACACCCTAACTATTCAGCTCCACACTAATGAGATCACTTCCTTTCTGCATCATACATTTGACCAGACTAATTGTCTCACTTCCTGGGTGGAGCCGGCCATAACAGCACAGGAGGAAATGAAAAACTGGAGTACAAAAAAAAACATGGCAAAAAAAAAAGGCTTGTTTTCTTCTAGTGGTTTATCTGAGATCTTTCTGCATCACTCACAAGGCCTCAGCAACCGAAAAAAAGATCTCAGATCTGTTCTAGTGTCAAAGCCAGATGCACTCCATATGAGAGACTTTCTCTTGGCGATCTGTTGGGAACCGCCCTTTACAAAAACACTACCTCAGCTTCTGAACGGCCCACTTTAAAATATCAAACTCAGCATGAGTTATAAAGCTCAGCATGCATTAGACATCAGCTCTGAGTGAATTGAAGGAAAATTAATGTTTGGGTTATTGTGGTTTTGGTAAAGCAGATTTCATCTTTGACCAATTTGTGA